CCTTTTTCCCAATATCACCGAACACAAAATTAAAGAGAAAAATACACATAGCTGTCTTTTTTTTGTCATCGCTGGCTTTGTCACCGGTCTTCTTCTGTTATCATCTGACTCTGTTCGTCGTAGGATTTCATTCAAGGATTTTGTTGATTCTGGTTCGAGGTAAGATTTATGTTCACTAAAATCCTTTTACCCCAAATCAAAAATTGATTTTTCTAATTGTTTATGTGATTCGTGATTTTGAAAAATTGATGATATTTAGTGTTGTAAGTTATTTGATTATGTTATGTGAGTAGATATATGAGTTTAGATGTTTTGAAATACCTACACATGTGATATGTTGATTTTGTGGTGGTTAAAAAGGAAAAATTTTACACAACTTGATCATTGCCTGAGAAAATTCTGACTGGCGCAGCTGGAAAGAAAAATTCGTGAAAATTGCTTCCTAAACTTCTTTTTGCTTGAAATTTTTATGGATAACCTAGACTTGTTATATTTGATGTTTGTAAAAGTTTTGGTTAAAAATATGTTTAGATTCTTCCAGAATAATTTCGTAAAGTTTAGGCAGTCTTCTGCATATTAAATTACAGTCTGGCGCTGTGTTGAGAAGAATTTCGGGAAAAATACTTGTAGGCCTTGGATTGGCCGAAACTTTTTGTGTGTAGACTAGACTATTTTTACTACTTATCTGAAAAATTTCATATGAAAATACCTTACCGATTTTTCTCAGTAAATTCTGCAATTCAGGTCATAGTTTCTAAAAGTTTTTGTCAGTTTCTTATTTGATATATTGAGAAGTTGCTTGCTTGTGAAATATAATTACTGTTATCATTCTTATAAATATGGAGAGTTGTGTTCATAATAATTAGGTGTGGAATACGCTAATCTGTGTTATATCTACGAGGTTAATAGGATGTTTGGAAATATTGGTACAAATGTTATAGATTCAGGTGTAAAGTTGAAAGTATTATTTGGGTGGAAAGATTTTGCTTTAAGTGGTGAACTTTTGAGGTTTTAGATATATATATTTTGTCAATGGAAAGTGGTGTCATCTGGTGTTTTTGTGAAGTGAGCGGTTGGAATATACCGACTCACTAGCTAGGGAGCCTAAAAACTCTCTGTTTTGTGGAGTGAGCAGTTGAGATATACTGACTCACTTGGGGGTTTTATATTAACTTCCCTGTTGTTTTGAGGGGTGAGCAGTGATGTAAAATCTGACTCACTAGGGAGCCGTGAAAACTCCCTGTTTATGAAAATCATTTTTTTGAGAATTTGAAAATCCTCCATTTGGTACCCATTTCTTCTTGGCAATTTATATATATCAAGTGTGATTGATTTTGAGAAATTTAAATGTATTATTGGAAGATGTTCTTCTGGAAAGAGATAAATTGAGAGATTGAAATTCTCTCTTTGGTAATACTATTTTGAGGTTATGTTGAGAGATTGAAATGATCTCTTTGGTTATTATTTTGAGAGTTTAAATGGAAACTTTATTTGGTTATTATTGGAAATTATTTTGGTGATTACATTATGATTATGATTTAAGGAATTGAGTAATGAGGATGTTATGAAATGTTTTGAGGTTATGGGTGTATGGAAATGTTGATAAAGGTTATATGGGAATCTTGAGGAAAGAATAATGGTTGAATGATTTTTGGATTATGGATAGGCAATGCCTTAGTCGTTTTGCTAGAAGTTTTTATGGATATTTTTGTATTTGGATGTGTGATTTCCTCAATATGTATTTCAAATGGTTAAAGTTAAAGATTATTGGTTTGTTGATGAGAATAAAAATGTTTAAGGGGTCATTCTAGATGCAAACTATCTGCTCCTATGTGTTGCATGTTATGTGCAAAACATTTTACGGGGTGAAGTAGATCTTACAAGCTTAATGCTGAATTTGTGTGTTTCTTTGTTTTCTATTCTTTAATTGTTTTTGCAGGAACTCTTGCATGAGCATTGGGCATGAGAATGAGCGAACCACCTAGAGATATCATTTATTAGTTAGACAGTTGAATTGTTAGTTGTTCATGTACTAGTTCATACCTTGAGTTATTTTAGTTAGCTGTTTTTAGCCTTAGCGTTTGGGTATAACAGAAATTCCTGTACGTGGCGGTAGCACTCTCCGTTTCTTTTGGTTTTATTTTGCTTCCGCAATTATATATGTTTTCAACAAAGAAAAAAATTGTACGTATTTTCGACAGTTTATGTAGTTTAAGAAATGGGGGTGTTACAAAAGCGGGATCATAGCTTAAGATATTTATTAAGCATCAAGTCATCAAAGGTTGAGATGGACAAGATGGTAGAAGACTTATTGAAGCATGCTTGATGCGAGATGATCCACAGTTAAGCGTTTTTTGTGTAAAGAAGAAATGCTATCATGAAGTATTGATATCGGGAAGTAATATCACAAAGAAGATATCAGGAGGTGATATTGGGTAGAACTATCATGAAGAAACATTTTTATAACATGATAGTAAGATATATCGGATGATGACGTCACTACTATTGGATGATGACATCACAGTGTGGTATGGCTTGTGAAACCCACGTGAAGAGATAAGACAAAAGAATTTAAGTCTTAAGATGTATCAATTGGTTACCTATTTGAGATGGAAGAAGCTTGGCAAAGCAAACCAAATGATCTATAGTTCAACTCCCACCCAAAGTAATTTTATAAACACATGATATGAAGATCATGAAAGTAGCCTAACATGAGACTAGTTCATGATATAAGGTGGAACATGATATACTATTGGGACATGACATCATCAAAGGAGCTATGACATCATCGTGACATGATATACTATTGGGACATGACATCATCAAAGGAGCTATGACATCATCGTGACAAAATAGTTAGACAGAAACATTCTTTAAGCTGTTTCTGGAAATCTTTTTAATACTCAAGCAAGAATCAGCAGATAAATTGTTTGATCAACTTGGCACATCAGATCAATAATTCAACAAAAGTCATGCCAGAGAAGTTCAAATTTGGAGGCTACCCCAAAGAAAAACTTTGTCAGATTAAAGGAGAGCAACGACAAGATTACTCAAAATCTTCTGATAGACGGCGAAATGATTTTGCAGACCAAGTTGGCAAAATTATTTGATCAACTACAATTCAAAATGGACGATCGAGATCGAAAGTTGATCAACGGGCAAATATCTTTCATTGGCTATAAAATGCCCAAGCAGACTTGAAGACAAACAGAGATTCAGAAAACACTTGAACAACAAAGAAAATTATCCAATCAATCATCAAGTGATATATTGAGCTATACACGATTAAATTCAAGTCTGAGTGAGAGAAAAATTTTATCTCTATTGTAAATCTTCTACTGAGTGTAGAAAAGGGGTAGAGTGACTGGAGAGAGTGAAAAACCCAGTTAGAGTGTAGCTTTGTGCGTAGCACTCGGTTGTAAAGGGTAAAGTAACAAGGGGAGCTTGTGAAAACCCGGTGAGAGCGTAGCTTAGTGCGTAGTTCTCGTGGTGTAGGAGTACAGCTTGGTGCGAAGTACTCGGGAAGGCGGAGTAACAAGAGGATCTTGCGGCAAACCTTGGTGGAGTGTAGCTTTGTGCGAAGCACTCGGAGAAGTGTCGCTGGGCACTTATCCACTATTGTATCTGGGTGAACGAAGAATAGTAAATTTCCTCATTGGAGTGAAAGGAGAAGAGTGGACTAGGAGGATCACACCACCTCTGAACCACTATAAATCTCTCTCTCTCTATTTACTTACTGCTCACTTAATTTCGTGCATGCTTATATCAACCGTGAACTAACCCGTTACGATTTATCGCGCATCTTTATCTGTCTGGGTTTGATAGTTCCCTCGTTTGCATGCAAGTGAAATTTTACGTACATCATCCTTAATCTATATCAAGTGTTTCTAACGTGATGCATGTATAGAATCTCTCTTTGAGCACTACACAATTAAAGCTTAACACTTTGCCGTTACATTTTCCGTTGTGCACACTCTAAGTTGTTACACTTGTTTATGCTTGTTACTTAGAGTTGAAATTACCAAAGTGTTGTTGCTAAAGAAGTTAAAAAGTTAGAGAAGTCTATTCACCCCCCCTCTAGACTTCTCGCCACCCTTTCGGGACTAACAGTATCTTTTATTTATGTTTCACACAAATGTGTGGACCATGGTACATGAAATAATGATGGAATCTCAGCAATAAAAGCAGTATGAATCAAATAAAGGGAACAATGATATTAATAAGGCAATTTATGATGAACGTACAGAAGCCTGTGTCAATAAGAGTGTCGTCTGTCGATGTGGTGATGATAAAATACCTAGGAAAAGTCACCAACTAATTATACTGGTGAACTATGAATATATGTGGAAAAGTCACCAACTAATTATACTGGTGAACTATGAATATATGTGGGGCTAAGGGTAGAAATAGACCAGATCGAGTCAGGCTTTAAAAAATTAGGCTTGACCTGTTAGGAAAATCTAAAGTCTGGACCTAAGTCCATTTGTAGGATTTTTTTAGGCTCAAGCCTATGCCTACATTTAGTTTTGTCTAGCCTGGAATCTTTTTAAAGCATGTTTAATAAATCATTCATTTTATTTTATATATTAAAGCCATATAGCCATGGCCAATCAAATTGTTGCATTTTCCCGCCCATATAAAACTACGTAGTTTTGAACATTAGGATGTTAAACTTCAGTTTTTTTTTTTTTTCATTTATTTCGTGGCTTTTTTCCTGATTTGCTTGACAACAAAATAATTATTTAAATTTCAATTTTCAAATCTAATTTAGTGTTTCAAGAAAAGTAAGTTATCATAAATAAAAAGTTTCAGCCTTACAATTTCCAAAGTAAGTTATCATAAATAAAAAGTTTCAGCCTTACAATTTCCAAAGTAAAAAGCAAAAGGTTTTGTCATAAATAGTCATGAGCCTGTTAGAATTCCGATGAATAATCAATAATAGCAATTCTCAATGTCAGCTATAAAGAGAACAACCATTCAGACAGTTCTAATCAAATAGAAGCAATAATCAGCTCAAATTCTACTTCAACAGTTCAAGAGATGAAGAAATTGACAAAGTAAGCGGAAATCTTAGGATGAAAACAAAGGTAAATACAATTTTACTTCTTTATTCAGTATTCAGTAGACATTACTATATACGAAATCTACTTATTTGAACAATCTTTCTTCAAACGCCTTTTTTAAGCTTCTCATTCTGCAAAATGTCAAAACAAAACAGGAAGAAAACAGTTAAGAAGCATTTGTGGTAAAGAGAAGAAAGAAAAAACTCATCGATCTACAATAATCAAGAAAAATAATCATAGAATAAGTACGCTGTCGTGAAATAAAATAGGCTACCAACGCATGCATTTCACAATTTAAAGTAAAAAAAAAAATCTTAGACAGACGATTAAGTGAACCTATTGCTCAAGATCGTTTAAGATATTCATAGATAATGCCTTCTCAGACTTTGAGTTCAAAAAATTCATACAGATAAATCTACAATTTTTTTGGCTAAATTAAACGAATTAAATACATTTGATAGATAGATTATACTTACAGCGATGATGGTCCCAGCCTTCGTCTTCACTGTTAGCTTAGATTTACAGTAGTATGATTGTCAAATTTCTGATGTATTGAGAGTGGCTAAGCAATACTCAACCATCTGAGAGATAGAGAGAGATAGAGAGAGACAGAGAAAGAGCAAGAATGAAGATAAGAAATGAGTAGAAGAGGATTGAGGCGTGATGGGCGAGACTGCGACAAGGTGGGGGATAAGCTTCCAGATCCTTCATACTCTATTTTTATATTTTATTTTATAATATATATTCATTATGCTTCTTAGATAGGTTACACGTACACACACATCATATCATTGCATATTTTTATAGTTATATATATTCATACTATGTGTATATTTTATATATATATATATATATATATATATATATATATATATATATATATATATAAAATAAAGCCACAACTTTTGGTAAAGCATGCTTATCTATTTTTTAAGGTGAGCTGTTTGTTGAGGTTTGGAAAAGCATGCAGGCAGCTTATATGGGCATACTTTGCAGCAAAGAGTTGCTGAGTGGCTGGGTGGCTGTATATGGTGGGTGTTTGTTTTAAAAAAATGTAGTGTTCTTCATTCCTATTTCAAGAGTGGTGTATGCAATATTTCATTAGTTTTTTTTTTTTTTTTTTTTTTTTGTAATTTCTTGGCTTTACAGTTAAATAATTAGCATTTTGGCTTTGTCATTGGAGAGAGCAGTAGAATTGCTACGGAGCAAACTAGAGCAGGACATTGTTGGTTGTTGGATGGAAGCTATGGAGTTACCAGAAAAATGAGGGAAAGACGTTGTTGATATTACCTTACTTTGAAACAATTGCATGTGTGAAATTAGCACACTAAACTTATGCATTGGTAAAAGCATAGGTACTATTTAGTTTTATATAATGGCCTAAAATGTAATATCATTCTTTCCTAGAATGTAATATCATCATTTGCCTTTAGTTAGTTAAAGTCATACACAAAAAATATTATAAATATTATTTTTGAAAACTCTATTATAAATATTATAAATATTATTTTTTTATAAATATTATAAATACACCAAATTTGGGAGAATTTATACAAATGAAATAAACTCTATTTAAAGAAGCATCAAAATTGTCGAATAAACTTTGATTGATATTCTCTTTTCTCTTTACACTTGTGTTGTGGGGTTGGGTTAGTTAAATTTATATTAATGAATTGGCTTTGGTTACATAAATTTATACTTTTACATAAATTTATACTAATATGTAATTCTACCATTTGATTATTTTTCTTTATAAATTAATAACCAACCACTCGATACATTATGTACCCAATTGGAGCCATATTATGTGTAAATAAACAATGTCAATAATCATATAAGGTATGACTTGAGATTATGTAGAGATTTAGTCTTAAATTACACGAATCACAAAGTAATTATTTCTCTACTACTAATGTAAGTCTACATAGAGGTTTTAAATAATTTGTAATCTATTCTTTCTTTCAATAATATTATCTTTTTTTTAAAAAAAAAAATTGTAAAACAACACTTTTTTTTATTATTAATATAATATTTACCCCGTCGGACAATTTTCGTCCATTAGTTTTTATATTTATGCAAATGATATTTTGATAACTTTTTATTGTGTTTCTAATTTGTTATGGCGAAAAAGTGGACTCAGAGAGGCAAAACTGATAGGAAACCTTCTTTAAAGGTTTCAAGAGCATATACAGTACTGTTAGAAACACTTTTGATGAAGGTTTCAAACTCCATTGAGACCTGAAATCATCAAAGAGTATGGTCAGATTTAGAAGCAAAAGTAAATCATTATATTTAACATTCATGAAGAAAATTGAAAGGAACCACTACAATAGGAGGCAAGAGGAAAGAAAAATAATCTAAGTCAGATATTCATTTTAGTTTTCTATGAGATTGTATTGCACAAGGTAGAAAAAAAAACTTGGTGTAGTGACAAATACTAGGTCTTTGATGGAATTTAGATTTTCAACTTGGTGTAGTGACAAATACTAGGTCATTGATGGAATTTAGATTTTCAACTTGGTGTATTTGACTAAAATACTAGGTCTTTGATGGAATTTAGATTTTCTCATAGCATGTACATGCTACTTTCTATATACTCAAAATGTCTGATCTGTAGTTTTTGCGTCTACTAATATTGTTCAAAAGAGTCCATAGCAAATATGTTTACCTCTTTTTCTCTTATCTGTAGTTTATGCTTCTACTAATATTGTTCAAAAGAGTCCATAGCAAATATGTTTACCTCTTTTTCTCTTAATACCTAGCAACAGCGATCAGTTCTTCGTAATCAAATTTTCACCAGCATTTTCTTCCTAACCAGGGTCAAATTTTCTGGGAATTTTTTTTTAATTTAAACAAAAGGGTCGAGAGTCGGATGAGGGCGAAGAACCGGAGTAGCCGAGGGCCGAGGTCGAGAGTCGGATGAGGGCGGAATGCCGGTGAATGAAGAAAACAGAGAGAGATTATTGCAGGAGGGTTTTAGTATCAAGCTGCGCAATATTGGCAATGTGAATAATCACTGTTTTTGAAGGTTAAATAAACATGCTGAATAATAGAGTTGATTATTATGTTTATTGACTTTATTCTGTCTATTAATAGTCATAATTTTCTCATACAAAATAAATATAGTTATTAAATAACAAAAATAACAGTTTTTAAATAACAAAAATAAATAGAACAATATTATTAAAAATGACTTAAATTACTTCAATTCAGCTATATGCAAAAATTTTATAACTGATTGGCATAAAATTACCCATCAATGGGACTTTGTCTTGATCCATCTTACTATGGCTTCTCATAAAAATTTCACAATGGTTAGTAAAGTGCAAAAACAATCAGTATAATAGTCATTTGAGATAACTATGTGTTCTTAAGACTCAAAAACTGCCTTACACATAACACAATTTTGGCATTGGAATTTGGAAATAACTAAAAACCATAAAATTCTATGACATGGTAACAATCAAAGTTCAATATTCAATTGGTTTAAAAAATGTAGAAAATACCAAAGCCATTTTTTTAATCCTTCAAAAGGTGTCCAGATTAAGTTTTTTACAGATGAAAACTACATTTTGACATAAATAATTAAAAAAAAAGCCAAATTTAAAAAGTTTAGGTACATAAATAAATGTTTATAATATATATATATATATATATATATATATATATATATATATATATATATATATATATTGATTTATTTAAGTAAACTCAGTGTTAATTGCGTATTTAATATGACAGAAGATGAATGTTTTCAAAAACAATCTAGCAATCTGCAAAATCATTTGGATAAAGAGAATCATATCAACTTTAGAGATCAGGACATTTCAATACCAGAATTCAACACCCCGTTAAGCACTCAAATGCCGTATGAAAACCACTCCTTGGGATTGTGCAATGGTACAAGGTTGATCATTACACAATTAGGAAACCATGTGATTGAAGCTCAAATTCTTTGTGGCAACAATGTAGGCACCAGGGTACTAATACCACGATTGAGATTGACTCCTTCTGACCCAAGACTACCGTTTAAATTTCAGAGGAAGCCATTTCCAATAATGTTGTCATATGCTATGACAATAAAGAAGAGTCAATGACAAACTTTATCTAATGTCGGACTACTATTAAAGACAGGGCCGGATTTTAGGTTTGTGTGGCCCTGTTCTGGTAAATAACTGAGGCCCTCCAAAATCTGAATTTTTAAAAGTAACATATGGAAGTTTCGAACCTTTGACCTCCAAGTTAAAATACAATATATATACATTTCTACCATCTCTTCATAGAACCTTTTTAAATTAGTTGTAAACTTTTAATTTTTATTTCTAAACAAGCTAGGTAAATATTAAATATTGGACCTCTAAAATTTGGGGCCCCTCTAAAATTGGGGGCCCTGTGCGGTAGCCCAGCTTGCACAGCCTAAAATCCGGCCCTGATTAAAGAAACCCGTATTTAACCATGGACAGTTGTATGTAGCAGCATCTCGGGTTAGTAATCCAGATGGCCAGATGGGCTGAAAATCTTAATATGTGGAGACTCTAATGTGGGTTTGAAATTTTCAATAATTTGTAATTTTTTACCGATATTCAATGTCATATCATAATGTTATTATTGTTTTGTATATATGTAACAATTTTTTTAAATTTAGAAATGCTGCAAATTTCGAAAAATAGGGCATATAGCCACTATAATAATAAATAAAATTACTCTCAATTTATTAACATAAATGCAATATTTCCAAATTTATGTCCGTGCATCGCACAGGTGAAATACTAGTAGACTTTTAAAAAGGCTTCAAAGTAGGTCATAAATAGGCTTTGAGCCTATTTAAATAGGCTCAAAGAGCCTATTTAAGGCCTACATTTTTAAAGCCTACATTTTAAAGCCTTAGTTTATGCCTGTCAAAAATATCATATTATTAAATTAGAATCAACCAATAATCATATTATTAAATTACAATCAATGAATAATAATAATTCATAAATAACAAAATCAAGTTCATATTTTATAATAAAATTTCCAACAACACAGTTGACAGTTTTAGACCTACACAATTGTATCAAGACAATTAGGGGCTTTTCTTTGGTTGAATTAAAATATGGCCGGGATCATTGCTTCCACTTCCACATGATCGTCCCAGATTGTGCACTTCAGTAGCCTGTCCCTAATAGGTCGAGATTGAACATTAATTACATAATAATACTTAAATAAATATAATTATACACTGCTGGGAATCTCGCTATTTCCGTCCAACTTGAAAATGGTAGTTATTGGTTGGAAAACGGGTTTCCGTCCAACATTCCGATCAAAATGTGAACTCAGAAAAATGAACACTGGTAATACCGTCCAACATCAGGTGTTGGACGGAAATTCCGTCCAATGGGTCAAAGTTGGACGGAAGTTCCGGATGTTAACCCACCATTTTTAGAATGGAAATTTCCGTCCAACTTTGACCCGTTGGACGGAAATGCCAACTAACCATTGGTCGGAAAACTCATACACTTTAATATCCGAAAATCCTTCCAACGGTTGTTCGAAAATTGTGACCAACAGTTGGTAAGAAAATCTATATTTATATAAATTATTTTTATTATTTTGATCTTGCTATAATTTTGTTTTACTTGTTGTCAGTAAATTCTATATCATCAACAAAGTAATGTACACAATCTAAATTCAAAATGAAAATATATTTAAATTTCAAGATTATTTACAACAAAAAGACAGTATTGTGTTCATAAACATTTAGGCAATGCACTATTATCATACACAAAAGAAGTCATCAAAACAAAAAATACGTAATCTTCATAAACATTTAAGCAATCCACTATTACCATACACAAAAGAAGTCATAAAAACATAAAATACGTAATCTTCATCAAGAGGGGCTTGTGTTTCATCATTTTGTTTTCTTCCCTCATTTGTAGAATTTCTACCATCAATGATGCATTTGAAGATCATGCTCCATGATTTAAGAGAACAAGAAAACAGGAAAGTGGCAAACTATCATGGCATTCTTCAACCTTTGTTAAACAGGAAATTAAGTGGCAAACTACCATGGTATTCTGGAACGTAGAAAAAGGTGAAAATAAATAAATAAACTCATCAGACTGACATTATAATGGACTTGCAAAAGTGCATATGCAAAATACCAACTTAAGTAAAGCCTCTGAACTAACATCTGTAAACTGTATGCATATTCAGAATTATAAGATAAACTGAAGATCGAGCTCAAGTAAAAAATCAAGGCAATGTCATTACGCATTAGAAAGTACTCTTGTTCACAACAACAGCAAAGCAGGAATGCTCAGTCTACTTCTACTTGGAAAACATCTTTCCTCCCAAGGCTATCATTCTCCTGAATTTCACCCTATCACCTTAGGGGAAGGGAATTGAGCTAACATCAAA